AGTATATCTGAGAGTAAACAAGTTGTTTCAGAACTTCCCCAGAGCTCAATTCTGGGGCCTCTACTTTTCATAATTCACTCTGCCGATTTTCAGACTGCTTTGTCACCCTGTTCCATGGCTGCTTATGCAGATACCTAGTTCATTCACCACTTTAATCTGGAAAAGCTATCAACTAAAACACATTTAATAAATGAGTATATAGAAAGTGGTGTCAGATATGCTACTAACCTGTCGTTAAATCCAAGTTATCTTAGGGTTTAATCTTAGCATAAGTATATTGAACTGTAATTAATAATTCACAGATAATATAAAATTTCTTGGTGTAACAGTCGATGAAAACTGGAGATTCCATCATCATTACAACTGAATTATACAAAAATCTTATTGCAAATTAAAAATTTTATAAGCGAACAATCACGTTCTTAGTGCTAATGCTAAAGCAACCCTAACCGAATATTTGGACATGCCCACAATAAATTATTGACATCTTAGGGCCGTATCGTTCCTACAATTGTAGGACGTCTTTATGGTCTTGGTTTTCATAGTCTTTTCTCTCTTGCAGAAAGGCTGAGGTGTTTCTAGATTTCTACTGCTCTGTGTCAGCGTTCTCCTATTGGGAATTTATGTTCTCTTTTTGAATTGCAGGAAATAGCAGGCTGATAAAACGGAGATGATGATGAAAAAAAGCGTGAACAATTTCGTGCAAATAGATATTTGTGACATAACCTCAAAATAGAGCGCTGACACGGAACCGTTGAAAACTATGAAAATCAAGGAGACCATGAAGGCGTCCTACAATTGTAGGAATGACTGACGATACGGCCCTTATATTATATCTGCCTGGACACTATTACGGAGATATATCCACAGAAAGTGCAAAATCGTTGATATCGATTTGTTTATGGACTAAGAAAGTATATACCTACCAGCACAGATGAAATAAATTGATTGGCTGAATGTGGAAAAAAACTGTAAAATCACAATACCTCACTTTTGTATATAAATTAATTTTTACCACATCGTCTTATTTATTTGAAAAATCTTATACCTAGGAAAAATATACGCTCTCTGAATATAAAATGCGGGAATAACTTACGTCACCATCCAACACTATTTATTATATACGGCTGTGAAAACTATATAATCAGGTTAATAATGAGATGAAAAAAATTGCAATATTATTATTTGAAAGGACTATTAGACACATGCTAATAGCAGAACGATATAGCTAGTTTACATTATTTTCTAAATTCCTGTAAAATTTACTTTCTTAACAGGGTTAAATGTAAGAGTAGCCATTGGCTAAATTTCGCCTTATTAAAACCGAAATTGTTATTGTTATTATTATTTGAAGCTACCTTAAACTCTTTACAAGTGTAACATATTATTTAGAAGCTGTTTCAAAATGGACAGAGTGTATGCTGAAATATTATGCTTTATCGTATCAAAAATGCACGTAATTCTCTAAATGTCTACAGATATGCTTGTGCTATTATTTTATCAATCTCTTAATAGTACAAAATAAATATTAAAAGGAAGTGTTGTGGATAAGCTACTCTTGTAATGATTTCAAAGGAGATTGCAAATGTAAAGTTATGGAGGTTATCTGAGCTTCTCAAATGCTGCATATTAGTAAAGTTGGACAAAATTTCATCAAAATTTGAAAGATACTTCCACAATCACACAGGTGTTAAGAATCACCGAAATAGCAGAAATGAGTGGTGTGGCTAATAGTAATGTCATACGACATCCAAAAACTATGTATCAAATTTCAAATTTTAATCGATCAACACCACATAAGCAATGATTTCCAGATCCACAAGGCGCCTCAACAAGCACTTCAGGAACTAAATTTTAGCGGCATTTCTCATCGACATCGCCCACAATTTTCTTATTAAACATACAGTACTTAGAGGCCTACTATGTTGTTTTAAGACAAAACAAGATATTAGCATTGTGTGAACATACTATGGAAATTTTCTTTTTTTTTTAATAAAAATTACGACGATGGAACAGTAATAATTCACGGTGAGCATCACCGTAAATATACATTTTTTATAAAAAAAAAAAGTTTAGACCATCCACCTAAACAATATGTTGTTTTCTGCACCGATTAATCATACTAGCTTTCCAAATTACGAGGGGCACTCCAATCGGAGGGAGAACGAGGAAGCTGTCTTTCCTCCATAGACGTCTCTTTGGAGTCAGGCCGGAATAACATTCTGTGTCATCGCCTCAACTGCAAAACATCCCTCAAATCTATTTGCTACCTTTATCGCTCTCCCTCGGACCATAACTGGAATGACCTACTTGAATACCTCGCTGTTAAGATTGACTTCCTGAACAACACCGATGCAGCATGTCGTGCTACTACACAAGGGCTGACCTAGCTGCAGACGAGCCCTACATCTTCCACCGCGTTTCGTTACACGCCAACAATCTGCTGGGTCTCTTTTTGACCACGTATCCTATCCCTTACATCACTGGGTAACTCAGACCACAGAGTTATGGAGGTTAGGTTTCGGTTAGAACCGGTCAGAAACAGATGTTTGCCTTGCTGACCCGGATTCGCCGACCGTCTGTTCATCAATAACAGAAATTATCCAGGTTGAGATTGAAAAATACTTCCCTAATAAAGTGAATATGCTTAAACCAGGGTTCAGCGGCTGTTTCAACAAATCATGTGACACTGATCGTCAAGAGAAGATAAAGGCACACAAAACTCCACTGTAGAGAACAGACAAGCCGATGTTGAGTCCAGAAACAAATAATATGATGAGGTCCACTATGCCAAAGGCTAGCATGATGTAAAAGTTAGGCACCGGGCAATGTCGCAACGTAATGGTAGATTGAACCGTCTCAAAGGCTATGGCAGAAGTGCTTGCCAAGATCTTTGCTGCCAACTTCTGTGGACGATCCTCGAACGCTCGAGTGCCGTCGATTCAAAGGGTTCCTTACACTATGCGGGAAGTAACATTCAAGCATAAGAGGGGTGTTCTTGTCGCTCGACGTCAACAAGCTCCTGGTCCGGACTAGATTCCTGCCGTTGTACTGATCAGATGTGCAGCGGAGCTTGCTCCAGTTCTTTTGCATCTCTGGAAATTTGCTCACGTCCAACCCGCCCAACAAAAATGATCTAAGACCGACCCTTACAACTCCAGGCCTATAGCTCTGATTTCTTTTATAAGGGAGGTGATGGAGAGCTGCATAAATCGGGAACGTTTGGATTACCTTCAACGTCACAGCTATGATGAGGCTCATAGGGTCACGTGTCATAGACAAGGAAAAACTTTGGAATTATTACAGACATGTTTTACTGGCAAATGCTGCCAAAAGTGCGGTCTGGAAATTCCTCCAAAAACATATTGCATCCCACCCTTGTACACCACTAGTCTAGCACCTGAGCTATCGCAAATGTGTTCGTTATGTCCTGCGACCGCAAACAACAAAGCCCAGGACAGAGCGGACAACGCAACGGGAGAATAACTTTTATATTTTTTATTCGTCGGACTGTCTGCGGATCCGCTGCCAGTTCTATTGTCAGCAGACACAAAAGTTGATTTATCGTAAAAATTATTTGACACTTTTTATGGATACAAATGTTGTCTTTTTTCGTACATTGTATACGCGGAGGTATAATTAGCATGGAGAATTTGGAAGGATGCGCAGGAAATTGGGGATTAGGGTTGACATTTTTCACTTCTTATTCACTGCTTGTTTTTTCTCTGAATGGATTACAGCTTAGGTAACAAGCAGCAATGAAATTCTAATGTCAGTGTCAAAAGCGGTCACCATTTCGGAGGAGAAAATCTCATCTGAATTCCCTGGCACCTGGCAGTGTTGCCAGAGCGAAGTTTAAAATATCCGTCACACGTATACACGTATCGCAAAATTCCACTACATGCCGCTATGGTCTAAAAATTTAAGGGGGGGGAGGCTTAAAATAACAAATATATTTTTTACATATTTACTTTTTTTTAAACACTGTCTAAAAATCCTACTAAAAATACAAACAGTAACATAATATAATTGCAATTTTTCGTAAAAACATAAAAAGTATACCTCTAAAAACACAAAACTGTCTTTGGTTCAGAATTAGGAACTAATAAAAAAATAGAAACTATCACCAATATCTTAAGCTTAATAGAAAAAAAAAACAAAAAATAAGGACAAAGAAGAAGCGGAAACGTGGGAATGCCTACGTTTGCTTATTTTATTCACAGTCAGAATCAGAAATTACTTCTTCTTCAGCTTGTTTTTCCTTATATACATTATATAAATTCTTTTTATATTTGTTTAAATGATTCTCATTAAAACTATAGAATAAACAGAACTGTTTTCTTGATTCCAAGTCTAATTTAATTGTAAGTAGTGCAGACAAAGTTGATGGTATTATTTTATTTCTTTCTTTGTTTTGTAATCAAGCATATAAGAAAAAGTTCGCTCAACATCAGCGTTTCCAGTGAGGCAATGTTAAAATGATTAGAACCAGTTTACCTATATTGCGAAATAAATATTCGTCATTAAAATTTTTGAGGTCGTTTACAAACCATCAAAATCCAATGCCATTACTTTTTGTTTTTAAAATTCCCTCTTTCTCACTATCACTAAAATAAATACATATTTTCTTTAGTTCCAAAATTGCCTTTTCGGTTTCAATATGAAGGGCACATTTTTTTAAAACGGCGTCATGAAAGGTATCACTTATAATAAGAAGATTGTTCATCACATCAACCGGTGAGAGAAACTTTAGCTCTGAAAAGAAGTTGTCTTTGATAGGAAATCTTTTAAGGGACTCTTCTACCGATTTTTGGTGAAATGTGACACATTTTAATTTAAATTGTTCGATTGCCGTGTTATTGCAGTGTTTTATTGCATCCATTGTATGCGGACCAACATTCACTTGTTCAATTGGTAATAAGCAGTGGGGATCATTAGGATTTAGATTATATAATTTCTCATTTTTAAAGTATTCTGGTCGCATAAAGTTTGTACATAGATGACGTACAAATCGCTCACTCTCTATTTATATGATATTGAGCATAACTTTCTCTGATTGAAAGAGAGCATTAAATTGGTTAAAAATGGGCAACACGAATTTAAAAAACATTAAATACGCCTTAACAAATGGATTCTGTAACTCATTAAGTATTAAATTTGCTACACAATTTTTGTCTTCAATGGAAGCTAATCTAAATAGGCTAAGCAAGATGTCCCACTGATCCAAAACTCTATCAACACATTTGGATAAAGCAAGCCACCTTGTTTTACTAGGGCTTAAAATTTTTAATATTGACTTTTTCAAATATTCCTGGAATTCTTCAAGAACACACTGCCTTTTTGGGCTTCTTGAGAAGTAAGAATATAAGTTTTGTAAAAGAGCTTCAACGTTGCTTGGAATCTTTTCAGCTGCTGCCACCGCCACTAAATGAGCAGAGTGGCAAATGCAGCCATTGACAATTATATTAGGATTATCTTTTAAAAGATAAGTTTTGAAAGATTCGTTGTTGTCCATCATAACACTAGCGTTGTCGGAACAGTATCCAACAATATTGGTAATTTTTACTTGATTGGATATAACGCGTTTTTTAAAAAGAGAATATAAACCTTTGGCGGTACCTTCATCTGCGTTTATTTTAATTATATCTAATAAATGGGTTTTGATTGAATTTTTATGAATATACCATACCACATACACATACCAAGAATGCATAGTAGTCTTGTATTGCTCAGGTCTGTACTCTCATCCAATAAAATAGAAAATGGTTTATTTTCCAATTCTGAAATTATTTCGTCTTTAATAACAGGAGCCAGCACATTTTTAATTATACTTATGCATTTGGATCTTTTTAATTTAAGTGAGCTAGATAGATCTGGGTCTTTAAAACATAATTGACTAACTCCTGTTATATGATCAACAGTTATAAAACATATATAATGACTTACAACTAAAAGACTATATCTTAAGCAAGCAAATATTTGCTGTTTTTCCAACTCACGTGCTTCCCGAGACTGAAAAGTGCTATCTAACGTTCTTACATTCGAAATTGCTTCTACATTAGTGGCATGCCTTTTTGATTTCGAATGATTCACTAAATCTGATTTTTTAGCACCCATTATTTGATTACAAGCTTTACATTATGCTTTCAACTTGTCATTTTCAATAGGTCCCAACCAGCCTTTAAATGACGGATCTTCTAGCCATGATGAAGTAAACATTTGTTTTCGTGTCTTTTTCTTAACAGGTTGCTCTGGCTCTTGGTTATCCTGAGATTCGCAAGTCGAATTATCAGGCTCAGACCTGATTCCACTAGATTCCGCTCTTCTATTTTGTCTGTATTCGAAGTGGATGGTACGGCCACGTTTGGTTTCACCGTTTGTTTTTTAGAAGGATTTTTATCAAAAAAATCGTTAATGGTCTGCTGTCGCCTTTCCATTATTCCTATTTTCCAGAAGAAAAAGCGTTAAAAACAATTTTCGCGACTAAGATTTATTTCTGGATCAAACTATAATATGTTAGATATTTAAGCAGTTTTGTTACTTACCAGTAGATTTAATATTAAAATCTGCAGCAAATGATATATCAATAAAATGATCAACACAAAAATAAGAACACTAATATAAACGAAACTAAACAGTATATACCCAGAGCTGAAAAATACAATACAAAGCAAGACACCTAATATTATGTCTGCCTGCTGAGACCTGTTAGAAACGATTAGTATTGAAAGCAGTACGTACGCCATCTGTTATTGAAAAAAAAGGCAAGTGGAATAATTCTCTTCTCTGTTCCTAGATGGCTCAAGCGGCACCAAATGCACCAATTTTATTATTAATCTGATAATAAATCAGACTCTAGCCACTGCCTATTTAAGATTTCGAACGTTATTAACGTTAAAACAGTGAAATAAATATGATAGTTTTGTATGTAATAAATTCCGCTACATTTTGGGCTAATTTGCTCTACCGCCGCTACGCCGCTTTTCTCAAAATAATCCGCTACAAATAGCGGAATTCCGCTACGTATGGCAACACTGTTCCCTGGTACAACGATGAAAGAGGTTTTAGTATTCAATAGCAGCCGGTGTTGCCACGTATAATGCCAATAACCGCAGATACTCTGCAATCGTAAAAACGAGTACGTTGGTCCAAAAAGAAGCGACGGATGATTATTTATTCATGAAAAAGCTTCAACATGAACTTTTAATGGTGGTAGTAAACAGAAAAATATTTATTTTTGCTATGTATTCTATACTGCTGTGATATAGTCGATGCATTGCATTCTCAGTATGAGCAATGCTAAAAATAACCTCCACTCAATCACAAGTATTCAGGTGGTCCTGTTGCAGAAAAAACGAGAGCACATGAAGATTTACGTGAGAGATTGAAGAAAGACTGTTCACCAGCAAAACAAAGCCACTTTGAACGAATATTTTTCGCTCATTCTAAACAAAATTCATTTAAAAAATGTATGTATTGTCAAGTGATTATGAATCAGCTTATGGAGAACGGCATACTTTCCAAATAAGGAGTCTACAGTTGCCTACAAGCTTTATAACTAACTACCGACAGCTTACACATTAAAAACTCGCCCTGTATGTAGAAGCGTCCTGGCTGAGGATTTGATTGCTGTCTTTCAACAGTGTTTACATTGAAAATGGAATGGATTGAAAATAGCGCAGCAGCAAAGCATGCAGGGCAAAAGTAAATATTTTTCCATTAATTGTAAATAAATCCACCAATACGAGTAGATACTATTTGATATTTGATATCACGATCTTAGAAATATTGTAGGTAGGAAAAATTTGCTCATGCAGTTTTATAGCTTAATAAATAAGCTTCTAAAGTTGTTTCTACGTTCGTTTACGAGATTATGCTAATTCTCTTAGACATCCGTCTCATTAGGCCATGAGTAAATGCTTGTATGCCTGATTTTTGAGCAATTTACCAAGTTCCATAATTAATTAACATTATAAAAAGGTGAAGCAAAAGTTGGATATTAACGTGAACATCTTAAAATCAGTTAAAAAGATTAATCTGATGAAAACATATATATATATATATAACTTGAGACGTGTCGTCTAGACCAGTTAGGTGAAAAATTAAAGCTTCCGCCTTTTGTTGGGTACTTCGACAAAATTTAAGCAAAGAGGACTCTTTATACTTTTTTTAATTCTCTCTAGCTTTCAACGGACTTTGCCATCATCATCAGGAGAGTAGTCTGTGAGGATGTTGCTAGTTGTTGTTTACGTTCAGGATGAGGGAAACGTCCAGTAACATGGTGAAAGCTGGATAGATGGCACAATGGTCAAAATTATATAAAATACACACAAATGTGTGACAAGAACAAGTTAAAAACAGATTCAACATTTTTTAGAACATGAAAGCTTTACATCGTGAAGCCACTTGATGATTGCACAAAATGGGGACCACATACTACTCTCCTGATGATGATGGCAAAGTCCATTGAAACCTAGAGAGAATTAAAAAAAGTATAAAGAGTCCTCTTTGCTTAAATTTTGTCGAAGTACCCAACAAAAGACGGAAGCTTTAATTTTTCACCTATATATATATATATATATATACAGGGTGTTTCAGTTTATTGTTGCATAACTTCAAGATTCGATAGAACCTTTAAAATTAATGCATAAAGTCTATATAAACGTGGGTCGAAAAATGCGTGGCTGCCGAAATACAGGGTGTTTAAATTTACTTTCTAAAATAGTTTTTTTTAAATATTTCGAACAAACAGTAAAAATTGGTATACGAGGGTTTTTTGGTACGACAAAACGAACCATGGGCATAGTTTTACTGTAGCCGCTAGAGGGCGCTCTCTACTGTACCTGTAGTGTATTAAAATGACCGAAATTTTTTTCTGAGTGCAGTTTTTTGCTTTTTGAATAAAAAACTGATTTTTCGTACTTTTCAACATAAAAAAGCTCTCCTGTGAGTTTTCCTTATAGTTAGCCGTTTTTGAGATATTTCGATTTCTAAGGTTCGATGCATTTTTAATTATTTATGGGAAAATAATATTTTTTTTACATTTTCGATTTGGGCATTACAAGTAATTAAGATGATCGTTTAGATTGTGTTTTTAAACACAGCAATAATTCCTAACTCCAAATAAACACAAAAAAAACAGAGTATTAATTTGTTTAATTTTCCAATATTATTTTTAACAAGTTAAATTAATTATTTACAACTAAAATGCTATTGATAGTTAGGACAAACATACAAAATCTAAAGTAGTTGCTCGAAATATAAACCCAATTGTTCAATACACAATTCACATCTACGAATGATCGAACGTGGTATAGCATTATTCAAATAAGGCCTTATTTCATCACATGCATTCCTGATTATGTCTATTAGCATATCTCTTGTGGTTACGGGAGTCTGGTACACTTTTTCTTTTAGAAATCCCCACACAAAGATATCTAATGGATTTAGGTCAGGGGATCGTGGAGGCCAGGCGACTGGTCCTCCACGGCCGATTCATCTTTCTGGAAAATGAGCTGGACAACCATCAAGCTGGAACCAGGCCAATCTTCTTAAATCTAACATAACATCCCACATATTTGCATGTTCAGCCTTTAAAAATTCCAAGAAGGTCGCAGCATTTAACCTTGCAGGCAAAAGGTAGGGTACAAATAGTCGATTACGGTAGATACCAATCCACACGTTCAGACTAAATTCATGCTGAAAATTTCTTTCCCGAACTGCATGCGGATTTTCATGCGACCAAATATGTTAATTATGAAAATTTACCACTCCACGTCTAGTGAAGCATGACTCATCGGTCCATAAAACGTTCCTTAAAAACTCCCTATTATTATCAGTTCTATCAAGAATCCACTGACAAAATGTGATTCTTCGTTCTCCGTCCTCTGGCTGTAGTCCTTGCACAGGTTGCAGATGGTAAGGACGTCTATGGTCATTTCTAAGAACACGGTGAACATGGCTTGCTGAAATTCCCAAGGCACCAGAAACTCTCCTAACACTTGTGGTCGGACCTCTATCAAACTCACGCAGAATCATACGGGTAAATCTGCGCTGACGAACATTTATGTTTTAATCCCTTTGGAGATTTCCAAAACCATTTTCAATTATTTGGCGATGCACTCTTGCAAATACTGAGCGAGTTGGATGTCGTCTGTTTGTAAATCTTGGTGCGTATTCTCTGGCTGCTTCTGCTGTGTTTCCATTTACAAAGCCATACACAAAATGAATATCCGCTAACTCTTGATTGGAGAATAAAAATGGCATTTTTATAAAACTTTAAAAAACAGGTAAAAGAAACTAAATTTCGTGCATTCACAATTGCAAAAATACGTTTCAGGTTTCAAGAGACAACAAAACTAACTGCCAACTAATTGACGTTTAACCTTATTCTTCTTTCAATTTCAAAAATATTTGCAGGCACAGCCTACTTCTAAAAATTATCGAGATACTGACTGTTTAACGTTATTTTATCATAAATAATTAAAAATGCATCGAACCTTAAAAATCGAAATATCTCAAAAACGGCTAACTATAACGAAAATTCACAAGAGAGCTTTTTTATGTTGAAAAGTGCGAAGAATCAGTTTTTTTGTTCAAAAAGCAAAAAATTGCAGTAAGAGTAAGAGTAAGAAACATTTTTCGGTCATTTCAATACACTAAAGGTACAGTAGAGAGCGCCCTCTAGCGGCTACAGTAAAACTATGCCCATGGTTCGTTTTTCCGTACCAAAAAACCCTCGTATACCAATTTTCACTGTTATACATCAAATATTGTTCGAAATATTTAAAAAAAACTATTTTAGAAAGTAAATTTAAACATCCTGTATTTCGGAAGCCACGTATTTTTCGACCCATGTTTATATAGACTTTATGCATTCATTTTAAAAGTTGTATCGAATCTTAAAGTTATGCAAGAATAAACTGAAACACCCTGTATAGTGAGCAAAAACTTGTTTTGGGGGTTAGGTGGTTAGGTACTGTTTCAGGCCTACGACGACTAGAGATAGGAGATTGAACTGCTTAAGGGAATTCGTATGAAGCCAATCCTGTCGCCAAATATCGCGTGGCTCTGGGTACGAGGGCTGTCTTTTAAGTTTTACATATAGAAACATAGTAGGTCGCGCGGATCGAACGTCAGTACTGAATTTTAACCTCATTCTTTAGTAAACCTAAATTCGAAGTTTCACAACAATACGTGCAGTGTTCTCACTACAGTGAATTTTTGTCACCAAGTCATTAGAAAAATGGAACTCGACCGAGAACATTTTCGCGCCATAACTTATTACAACTTTCAGAGACAATTATCGCAACAAGAATGCCTTGCTGAGTTACTGTCTGTTTTCGGCAACGAAGCGCCACATCAGTCGACAATTTCCTGTTGGTTTAGAGAATTCAAACGTGGAAGGGTGAGCCTTAGCGACGATCCCCGGGTGGGTGCTCCAAAAACGGCAGTCACCCAGGAAAACGTCGATGCTGTGCGCAAACTCATCATTGAAGATAGGCATGTGATATATCGCGAGATTGAGGCGTCCTTGAAGATTTCAAGGACTCGATTCAAAAAACTTTACATGAAGAATTAGGAGTAAGAAAATTAGTTGGATACCTCACCTGTTGACTGAAAAGCAGAAAGCAGCCATGGTTAATTGGTGTGAGAAAACGCTTGACCGTTTCAATTCCGGAAACTCAATATATGTGTACAGCATCGTTAGTGGTGGTGAATCTTGGATTTACTGTTATGAACCAGAAAATAAACGACAGTCAGCTGTTTGGATGTTCCAAGTTGAAGAAAAGCCAACAAAAGTTATCCGTTCTCGAAGTGTTTCGAAAAAGATGCTCGCGTAATGTGTGTCAAAAGCGGGTCATATTGCAAACATTCCTCTTAATGAGCAAAGAACTGTTTCTGCGGATTGGTATACCACCATTTGTTTGCCAAAAATCATCACCCAGATTCGAAAAATCAACCCCGAAAGAAGAATCATCCTCCATCAAGACAATGCAAGCTCGCACACAGCCCAAAAAACAAGGCACTATTTAACAGAAGAAAACGTGGAATTATTGGACCATCCTCCATATAGTCCCTATCTAAGTCCTAACGATTTCTTTACTTTCCCGAAAATTAAAAACAGACTGCGTGGTCAAAGGTTCCAGTCACCAGAAGAAGCAGTTGACGCATTCAAAAACGCCGTTTTGGATCTGCCAGCAAACGAGTGGAATAAGTGCTTCGAAAATTGGTTCGAGCACATGCAGATGGGTATTAATCTTCGTGGCGAATACTTCGAAAAACAATAAAGTCATTTAAAACTACCTACCGTGTTGTTTTATTTCCATATGCATAAAACTTAAAAGACATCCCTCGTATTATAGAGGGCGTAGGATATGGCGCAGACCGTCTGCGCATTTAAGAGTGTCATCATAACCTGCTGCAATCTCTATGTGCATTTTACTCACGTTTTGCCATGCTGTGTAGGTTTATCATTCTGTGGTTTATTAATATTATCCAATATTTCGACTTGCAACTCGGCCAAACTGTCAAAATAGAAGTTGTTTACAGTCAAGATGACAGTAACAGAGACAGATCTTACATGCGCAGAACCTGAAATTTTTTTTCTGCGCAGTGTACGCACATAGCACCAAATCACTTTATCGTCGACATTTTTGACTTGACTCCCAAGCCATAAATCTTTTCGAAGTCGTCATAGCACCAGCCGTCATCTTGAAATTGTTATCTGTTATTTTCACGTTGAAATATAGTAGATATTTATGCGTCAATTTGATCATCCCAGCAACACGGGTATTACATATCCTGAAGAGTGACATTATGTCGGTTTTGAATTATATTGTTTTTTCCTATCCATTCTGGAAATTACTTAAGCAAATTTGCTGAATTTCTAAGGTGAGAGAGATAAGAAATAATTATTATATTCATTGTACACTGTCGAATTACAAGTCATATACATGCTAAGAATAATTACATACAACGCGGGTGCGGTGGTGATTCCCGTAATTCTCCTCAAAGTTTTTGAAGACAGATAAAAAACGTAAAAAATCGTAATTTATAACTTTGAACATAACCTGTCTTCAGAAACGACAACGTACACATAATCCGTCGCGCACAGCTGATAGATATACTTCATTGACAGCATATTCAGTAGTGCAGACCAATACACACAATCATCCAGAGGCGATATTGCTGTTCAACCAACTTTTTTCTCAGAGAGAAAAACTATAGACTACTCGGATTCAGAAAACATATGCAACCAACAATGCGTGTAGTTGAGCTATTCATCCATAGATGGACGCTCACAACGATCCTAGTGAGCAAACGTGGACTGACTGCACCCTAAAAGCTACCTAGTTTTCCAAGATGAAATTTTTTTTGTTTGTTTTTTTTCACGTTTTATATGTTTTTTACATAATACCCATGCGGATTTCAGCTTGCTAACTTGATCTGTTAAAAAAATACGTAGGGGGATATCTTTCTGAAAAGGAGTTTCTGCTTACTGTCTATATGTGATGCACTTGTTTATTCCTCCTGTCACAGGTTCTATTTGTGGGTTCTTTTCGGTCTGAAATTAGATCCCATCTCGCTGATCCTGATACCCACCAAATATTTTTTTCATTTCGTCGTCACATTTTTTAGTTGACAGGCAACTGCAAAGCTTATGGAAAGTAATGGTGCGGTACGTTAAAAAGTTATTAATTTATTTGCACCAAAAAGGATAATTTACAAAAATGTAAACCTAACCTAGCAGTGTTGTAATTATTTCTCGTATGACAAAATAATCCCACGTGTTTTCTAGTAAACAGGGTAATCGGACTCTCTTAAAACTAGTCAGATATTAAAAACGCAGTATTGTCTAAAAGGTCCTATTTCGTAAACTTTTTACTAATTCCGTCATCGACATAAATTAATGGAGCCTCACACGTAGGTGCAAATTTCTCAGTAATCATCATTGGGTAAAAGGTGGTCTGACAGAGTCATATCAATTTTCTTAGCAAGCCAACTTTGCGATCGTTTAGACAACAAATTCATTTAAGGAGTCGCTAATAATAGCGCTGCTAGCTTTGACTCATCCGATTGCCATCCCAGCAGATTTTAAACGATACTTAATTAAAAAATTGGTTAATTGTGTCAATTGATAGGTTAGTGCATCTCTAAAAATACGCTGACAACGAGTAGTCCAAGATTATATATTAGATCAGAAAATGATGTATTCGTAATGTAATACCAGAAACTCATCCTTCTAGAGTTTTCCGCTGGTGTTTACCGACGAATGAGAAGTTTTGGCTTGTTTTCATACCGGCCACACTGGGTCCTCCCTTTAACTCGTGAACAGCGACGTAATCGCCTTGAGTGGTGCAGACAACGGTCACTCTGGGATCAGGAATGGAACAGTATTGTCTTTAGTGACCAGTCTCTATTTTGTTTAGGCATGCACGATGGTCGTGCCAGGGTTAGAAGGCGACGTGGTGAAAGGAGGAATCCACAGTTTTTTGTTGAAAGACATGTTCATCACACTGTTGGAGTTATGGTTTGGGGTGCTATAGCTTATGGTTCCAGGTCACCTTTAATCTTCATCAGAGGTAACATGAACGCGCAGCGTTACATCCACGAAGTTCTAGAACCCCATCTTTTACCCTATCTTGACACCCTGGCAGATCCAACTTTCCAACAAGATAATGCCCGACCACATGTTGCAAGAGTCACAATAGACTTCTTTCAACATAATGGTGTCACATTGTTACCATGGCCACCAAGATCTCCCGACTTATCCCCAATTGAGCACGTGTGGGATATGATGGGTAGGAGATTGCTCAATTTGCAACGTCCTCCTCAGACTCTAGAAGCACTTCGAGAGGAGTTGGTGGTTGCCTGGAATGAGATACCACAGGAGGACATTGACCACCTGATCAGAAGCATGCCTAGGCGCGTTGGAGAATGCGTAGCACATCAGGGTGCATCCACACATTATTAAAGGTCAAAGGGCTTTAAAGCAGTGCAATCATTTTGAAATTTTTGTCATTTACTTATTATGCTTCATTAAGTACTTATACAAAATTTTATTAAAATAAAACAGTTCAAACTGGGTGTTCGGATTTATATGTCACTTAGTATATATATTATATAGCCTGCATTTCAAAATAATCGCTTTCTGCTAGTTGGGGTGGCATTTTTCGTAATTATTAATTAATTCAATATTATAGATCTCTAGCGAGTAAAATTTAACTTGCCACACTTTCTAGAAAGAAATAAAATAGTTTTTGTCATTCATACTTGTCCGGCAATTTGTACTATTAGCTGGCTTGCTAAATCGTACCGATAGAATTCAACAAACTTTTGTATTATTTTCAGTCATACCTCGCAAGGGTTCAAAATGTGGAAAATGGATTGAGGGAAACATGAAATTAACAACAAAACTATACAAAACGGAAAAATTCGGATTTAATGCCAAAACAAATATTCTCAGTTCGTCGTAAGGATGATTTCCTGTTTTATCAATGTGTTCAAAATCGAAGATTCCCATGTTTGAGCTCAATAAATGAAACTTTTAATTTGTACGTACACTGAGTTTTTTGGTTAGAGTAATATTTTATTTCACCTTTGTTCCTTATTTGTGATCTCTGTTTTGTAAGTTGGATAATTAAAACGTTTCAATTATCGCGATGTTTTGATTCACACACCTGTTCAACTAACACTGAAAATGGTTCAAATTGAAAATCGCGTGGTTCGAGAAATTTTACCATTTGCAACATTTTTTTCAAAACGTTTATTATTCTAAACTCTGAGTCACTGATCAACAGCCAAAAAATATCCTAAATAAAATCAACAAAATATTACTATTTTTAATGTGCTAAAACCGGAATGAAACTTATTTTTTCAATATTAGTTCAAGTTTTAGAGATACGGTAATTATATGTGTTCCTGCTGTGACAGTGTTAATATACTGTAATTCACAAGAATGCACGTGCTACATTTTTATATTCGGCAAGGAAAGATGATGTAATCGGCATGATTGTGTTACGTTATACATACGTGTACATTATATTGTTTTATATTAGCCATTTTTCCCTCAGTTGGCTGACAGCGTTCATGCAAGATGTCTCGAAAGTGTGTAAACAATCCAGATCAGTTTTGTTGCGTGTGTGGTGATGTGACATGTGCGTCTCAGAGACGGTCTATTACTCCACTAATAACAAAGGCATATCAGCTTTATTTCGGTTGTAAGCTAGGTGATCAAGACAAATAGTGGGCACCCCACATCTGCTGTAATACATGTGCTTCAAGTCTGAGGAGCTGATTAAATGGCAAAAAACGGTCTATGCGCTTTGCTGTCCCAATGGTTTGGAGAGAGCCTACAAATCATATTAATGATTGTTACTTTTGCATGGTACCTTGTGTTGGACAAGCCACAGGTATGTCCAAGAAAAAAAAATCGGTTATTAACTACCCAAACATACCATCTGCGATGAGACCTGTGCCTCACAGTGACGAAAATCCTATTCCAAAACCCCCAGAATCCTACACTTGCGAATCAAAAAACGAATCAGATCATGGCGATCGAGTGATTCGTCAGGAAGAAGATATGCCATCAACGTCAAGAGATCCTGATTTTATACCGAGCACGTCATGCCACCAACCGCACAAAATAACACAGTCAGAATTAAATGACCTTGTTAGAGATTTAGAACTTCCAAAATGTAAGGCAGAGTTACTTGGATCAAGACTGCAGCAGTGGAACTTGTTAGAAGACGATGTTTCGGTATGTGTTTTTCGTAAACGCCACAAAGACTTAGAACCATTTTTCAATACGGAGAATAACTTGGTTTTCTGCAGTAACACTAACGGCTTACTGGCGGCTTTAAATATAAACTATAACCCAGAAGAATGCAGATTGTTTATAGACAGTTCAACATTGAGTTTAAAGGCAGTGTTATTGCATATTGGAAATATATATCTAAACCGCAACTAATTTTTTTATTTCATTGTCATTTTTTGATTCAGCGCACCAAAATTAACAAAGAAGTGCACTTTTCCCACAAGATACAATTAAAAAACTAAAATTTGTTGTCCATATTAGCATCAGCGTTAAGTTGTGAAGAAATATATGAAATTAGTTTACTTTGATGTTTCGTTCATTTCCAACAAGTCATCAAGGAGTTATTCCATCAAATATGTTTGGTGGTACAAATTACCGGACTTTACCCTATATAAAAGCAAACATTACAGAAATTAAGGGAACGAACAATTAATAAAAACAGTCAATTCAACGCCCTAAACCATATACTTAGCACACATCTAAA